AGTGCCGAAATATAATAAGATACCAATTTTTTCGCAGCCTTTCTGCGTAACGCAGGAAGTCTTTCTGACTCCTGCTTCTGCGATAGTCGAAAGTCCTGAACTTTTAAAAGGATCAGGTGGTATCTATTAATAGTTCGGATTTGTTTGGTGTCCAGAGAAGCATTGGCTATAAAAAGAGACCAAGTTCTGTCAGGGACATTTTGTGTCGAAGGATACTGGCAGTAAGCCCAAATTAGATAAGTTGCACGGCACTCTAAATAGACATGGGTGAGAATACAATGGTATGACTGATATAGAAATAGTAGTAGCAATCTGTAAAGATGATGATGAAGAACAAGTTAAGTACAGACTTGAAACTTTTTTTTAAAGAGTTCTCTAATAGTTGAAGAGATCACGGAAGCTTTGTTTAGAAAGCTACAATTGCCTTTACAGGTACAAGGAGCCTTAAAATTTTTTGTCTACTTCATTTTGACTGGTTTGGTGAGATATTAGTAAAAGTTCGTTTGGCAGCTGCCCCCATAGATTAAATTTTACAATTCCATCTTGGTATCACGTACTTACGCGTCTGATTGATGGACTTGTTCAATCTAGTTCATTTGGATGTTTTTTCTGATTCTATCTATATTTTTTTTCTTGGAGATATATAGTTTGATTTTTCGGACGTAAGTTCGTAAACCAATTAATGAAAATCAACATTCTACCTAGTTGTTACTAAAGTTTTTTACTACTTTTCGCAAATGACCAAATGGCGAACTCTGAGAGAGCCTTTGAGAATAAGCCTACTTTGGAAGGTACGAAGTAGATCTTTTGCGAGGGCATTTTCCAATAATAATGTATACGACTTGTCAACCCTCTTTTTTAACACACTTTGCTATGAAGCTCATGATTAACAGAATATAACAGTGTGATTAAGCATTGCCGTGTTATTTGGAAACGTAATTACCCAACCCAAAACACAATGTTTGTAGAAGGGTGTTGAAAGATATTCATTCGCAGTTTCGTTTTTTTTGTTTTTTTTTTTTGCAATAAGAAAATATATTTATATACTTATATAGATAGAAAGAAAATACATACCTTGAAAATAAGGAAAGATTTAGATAAACCATAAAAACCCCGGAAGAATTTAATGGTGGTTTAGAAAACTATATAGGATTTAGACTTTTGGTAAAAGCAACAAAGACTAAGGGCAGAAATACTAGAAAAATCCTTAAAGATCATCATGGTCTGATTTAAGCTATTTGTTCAGTTTTGTAAGAAATTTTAACAACAAGAGGATGATGGTCTGAAGCTAGGATAAGATACTATGAAGTTTTATGTAAAGGTCTAATGACAAATAGCCTACCCAAGGTTGAACAGCCCCAAAAACCTGAGGCCACATAACCTGAGGAAATGAGTTGCACCTCGATAAACCAATAAAAAGGTAAAAAACCTATGGAAACCTCATCACCCTGGTAAAACAACAGACAAAAGGAAATTAACAGTGACTGGGTGTTTCAAAGCCATTGCTTTTTGGTCTTTATTGTTAGGAGGTACTTTTCTTGTTTCGAGGTTAAATTTATCACCTTAATCATCAGACGAAGTGTTGTTCTCTTCGTTTGTTCTAATATTATAATAATCGTCTTCATTAGGGTCATCTGGAGAATTTTCGTCATCTCAAGGTTTCAACCTTCAAAACACTTAACACATTGAGTGTCATTAATGAAAGATTGATTTTTCTTGGGTTGGGTGTAGTTTATTGATCAATGCTTTAAAAGAATATAAATAAAACAGGTCCTAGGTATAGGATCAAAGGTATTAGAGTCCTGTAAAGCCTCAATGGAACGGTTGCAAAAAAGCAGTCCACTTCAGCCAGTGCTCTAAACCAGGGTGAAAAAGATGAATATAATCAGTATTAACTTGAAAGTCGGTAAGAGAATTCACTAACAGCAAGCCAAAACTATTCCAAGTCAAGGTAAGAGCTATGAAAAGGGGTGAAAAGTTTTTTTGGATAAATGTAGATCAATTTGATACTTTGATGTTGATCAGACATCAAAGTAATATACGCCATCTCAACATATTTTTTCAATGTCAATTAGCTAGAATAAACCATGTTTTGTATCACAAAGTCTTCTATAGTGAAGAATACGGAAATCAATGTTTGATCAAGAGGTTCTAGAGTGGGTTTCCGGATTCTTTCAACCATGTAAATCAAAATGGGGAAGTGCCAGCCAACAGACGTATCATTAGTGTGTAGAGAGAGATTATCTGCTTGTTTAAGATGCAGCAGCTAATACCTCCGGTGTTTAGTCCATCAATGTTGTGGACGTCAGTTTGTGTTTAATTCGTTAAAAGCAGAAGTTCTAAGAGCTGGTAGAAAGCCTAGATTCTTCTGTGTGATCTTTTCAAGCCAATTTCATAAAGATAGATAAGGTATATGAGATACATTCTTTGTTTATTCGATCTAAAGATAATGATATTTCACGATTGTCTGGATTATCTCGAATACTAAGGTTTCGATGAGCAATTCGTAAAAGAATAATTTAGTATCCGTGAAAAAGCACTAATAGCTGAGCTTTGAACCCCCGGTCTTTGACAAAGTTATATTTGAATATGTTGAGGTTTGGATTATAATATAATCAGTAGAATTGTTTTAGTAAGACTATTCGTTTGCATTACTTGAACCAATACTATTGGCGTAACTAGTGCTGCGAAAAAGAACAGCGACTTTTTCTCATTTTTTGCATCAATCTTGCCAAAATCGTAGTTTTAGTTAAGCGAATGGCATGCTCAAGCTTAAGGAGATACAAGACCTTAATTAAAATTAATGTAAACCGACCATTAGTAATGGTTCAAATTCAAGTAATGCAGCTAACTCCATAACCTAATGCAGTTAGTTTAAACGGCCAGATTTTGAAAATAAGTGCGATCGGATCAGTGAACCCTTTAGAGTAAATGAGGAACATTTTTCCAAATGCGGTAATGATAAGAACTGCAATAAGCAGCTTCCGCTAATAAATTTTCATTAATCAAGATAATGATTTATTGGAGAAAATTAGTATAAATTGACCATGATTCTTCAAGTTTGAAGGATATTTTCTTTTTGAAATCATTAACAGTTTAATTGACTTAGTTCATTAACAAATCACTCAATTTAAATCAGAAAACTCCAATTCAAAATGCCAATGAAATACAAAGCTTCTGCTGAAGGTAAAGCCGTCAAACCACCAGCAATTGAATCTCCAGGTAACAACTCCTTCTTAGGTGATGTTCTTACTACTGATGCTCCAAAGGAAACCCAATTGTCTTCTGGTTTCTACAGACAAGACAAGGGTGAAGCTTTAGTTTACCACTACACTTACGATGAAACCAAAATCATTTTAGAAGTCGAAGGTGAATTCTTCATCTCCGATGAAACTGGATACAAAGTTTCTGCTAAACCAGGTGATGTTTTCATCTTCAACAAAGGTACTACTGTTACTTTCGAATCTACTGGTACTGCTCTTGGTTTCTTTACCGGTTTAAGACCACCAATGTAAAGTGGCTAAGAACTTAACTAAGGTCTGGTACTGATCAGTTAAAATAAATTTCAACATATAGATTCTCTTAGGTAAATATTCAAAATAAAATTTTTTCTGTACTGAAACTCGCTTGTATTTTAAAGACTCTGATAGCATAGCTTGAATATTCTTATCATCACTATAATCAATAAACAAAATTCGGAAGAACGATTAAAAGAGTTCAGATAAACAGATTGGGGTTAAAGGGTTATTAGCGGGTGTCAATCTAGACATTGCGAGAGAAACGATAAGGCCGAAACGCGCCAAAGTTGGGCAGCTTCGTGAATAACGATTGATTAGAGTTTCAAGCATCCCCAGCACTTACAATCATAACTAGAGGATAGCGGATGATTAGCGGTTAAGCATTATTACCTGGAGTTCTGAAATAGTTTGAAAATTTCCAAAAGTTTCGCAACCAGTTTTACAGCGAACTTAAAATGACAGATAACCGCTAGAACAGATATTCAAGTATTTATGTATTTATGGACTGTTTGAATGCATCGGTTGGGAATGCTACATTTGGGAATGCTACATTTGGGAATTCTTACAGAAGATTTGAATAATATTAAATCACAGATTGCTATTAACATCTAATCTATATAGAATCTAATAAGAATAAATAAATAAGGAACTCTAAAACTTTTCAATTTTCCCAGAACATGAACTAAAATTTCTTTGATCAAATGCTTTTTAACTACAAGTTTATTTATAAAAGCCTTGAGATTTTAAGTAGGAGATAATATCATCAACGACGGTGTTGAGTTCAAAAACGCCATTTTGTTGATTTAAGGAGAAAACACCATTATGGGAATCTTGTTCGCCATCAATGTTGACAATGATGGTATTAGACTTACCAACGGTATTAACAATGTTGGAATAATCAGATTTGACGGGAATAATGATACCAGAACCGGCTTTAGCTAATTCATTGATAAGGAAAGCATCGTTATAAGAAGAATCTAATTTAGTGATACGACGAGAACCATGGAATTGATTCAAACTAGATTGTAAAGCAAAAGATAAATATTCACCTTGTTCAGGATGAGATTTAGAAGAATCGATAACAATAGCAAAACCTTGATTAAATCTTGGAGGATTAGTATCTCTTAAAATTTTAACAACTTCAGGATAAGAAAACCATTCAGGGATATCGGTACCATCTCTTAAACGTTGTCTTAATTCGGTACCGGAGATATTAGCAGTTTTAACTTTATTAGTATCGATAGTATCGATAGGAGCATATCTATCTTCATCAGGTAAATAAGTAACCATTCTAAAAGGAACAACTTTAATTGGTAATTCATTTTCGAATTTAGCTAATAAATCTTGAGCGTCATAAGGACCATAAAAGCTTTCACCTTTTGAATTTGAACCAGGACCAGCATGATCTCTACCAACGATAAAATGGTCAACACCATAATTCAAACGAATTAAAGCATGCCATAAAGCTTCACGATCACCACCCATTCTCATAGCCAAGGGTAAAAGAGAAATGGTGGCTAAACCTTCAGGGTATTTTTTCAAAATTTGTTGATAAACTTTAACTCTAGTATGATGATCAATATCACCCGGTTTAGTTAACCCAACAACTGGATGAACCAAAATATGGCCATCATCACCGATATCTTTAGCAGCACGAACGGTTAATTCACGGTGAGCTCTATGCATTGGATTTCTAGTTTGGAAAGCAACAACATGTTGTTTATCCCAACCTAATTTGATAAATTCTTCTCTCAATTCAGTTGGCGATTTACGGAATTCGACGTAATCATAATGTTTTGGATAATCAATACCTTGAATAGAACCACCAATATAAATATCACCAGCAATATTATTTAAATATTTGATAGCAGGATGTTCAGGATCACCTCTGAAGACTTTTTCGGCTTCTAAAGATTTATTTGGTTTATAAATTGATTCAATAGTTAAAACGGCTAAAGGTTTTTCATCTCTCAAATCTTTTAAAACAACACGGTCTTTCAAGTTAAATTTCGAAGCGGTTTCTTGAGAAACATCCAAAGTAATTGGCATTGGCCATAATAAACCTTGGCCATTTGATTCATTTTTAATAGATGATAATCTCATATCAGAAACAACTGAATTATAATCATCTTCATTTAAAAACCCATTCAATGGAGAAAACCCCCCATTTAAAATAAGCTCTAAATCACATAATTGTCTATCAGTTAAAGTATAAGAAGGTAAACTAGCTGCTTCTTTTAATAAATCTGACTTAATAGAAGAGTCACGAATGACTAAATCTTGTAATTGACCACCGTGTGGAGCGTGAACTGGCATTATGGAAACTTAGAGATGAAGAAGTAGATCAATCCTTGAATTACAAGTCGGAATCTTCCATTTTTTTATTCCTACTGCAAAAAAATCAAGAAATTCATTCATTATATCAGATCAGACAATAGCACGTGACGGTACCCCGGAACAGCACGACGTCATCACCACTCACGTGTAACCACCGGAAATCAGCAATTGCAGCAATCTGAGACAACGCCCCCAAAGCCGTTATCGGCGGGTGCCCACGACATTGCGCGACATTGCGCGACACCCACCGAAAACCAAATAAAAAAACCACGCAAAGCTGCCAAAGACACAATCTGCAAATAGACCCGGTGCAACCTGCAAAAGCAAAAGAAATCCAACAATTTTTTCAATTACTAACAATTTATTTTGCTTTAATGGCAAAAGTACTAGAACTAAGTTGAATTGTTTGTAAGCACACACAAAAAAAGTGATTTTTGTAGTTGGATGAATTTAAAATTAATATTTAATTCCCATAAATTCCACTCACTCTATTTCTTCTTTTTCTTTGATTAATCATTGAAATTTAATTCAATTTTAACTAATTATCTTTCATTATTTCTTATCATTGTACAATGTCTGCTCCAACGTATGTATTCTTTAAATTTCATCAATTGATAGCTTTGAGGTTGAGTTGAGTCCGATTCGTTCAAGGATGAATTTTTTTCCTGTTCTCTCGCCCCTCTTTTCTGGTGAACTTGCTTTAACCGTGGTCCAAGTCAATTGAATATATAATGGACTTGATTTCACCTTTTGGTGAGATAATTGAATTATCAAGAGATACTTTTAAAGCAAGTACCAACTAGGGAGGAAGGAAAAATAATTATTAATTGCTCTGATTCGGACTTGTCTGCCCGTGGGAAAATATGTCGACAATGTCTCAAATAACTGCGATCAATCGATTATCTAAGCTTAATAATGAATTGACAGGCAATAGAACTATGGGTACTAACAAGAAACATAGTGGTGATATCGGTTTAATTGGTTTGGCCGTTATGGGTCAAAATTTGATCTTAAATGCCGCCGACAAAGGATTTACTGTTGTTGCTTATAATAGAACTGTTGCTAAAGTTGATCACTTTTTAGATAACGAAGCAAAGGGTAAATCAATCATTGGTGCTCATTCTATTCAAGAATTGGTTGATAACTTGAAAAGACCAAGAAGAATTATTCTTTTAGTTAAAGCTGGTAAACCAGTTGATGATTTCATTAACCAATTATTACCTTATTTAGAAAAAGGTGATATTGTCATTGATGGTGGTAATTCTCACTTCCCAGATTCCAATCGTCGTTACACTGAATTAAATGAAAAGGGTATTCTTTTCGTTGGTTCTGGTGTTTCTGGTGGTGAAGAAGGTGCTCGTTATGGTCCTTCTTTAATGCCTGGTGGTCATCCAGATGCTTGGCCTCACATTAAAGAAATTTTCCAATCAATTGCCGCTAAATCTGATGACGAACCTTGTTGTGATTGGGTTGGTGACGGTGGTGCCGGTCATTACGTTAAAATGGTTCATAATGGTATTGAATATGGTGATATGCAAGTTATTTGTGAAGCTTATGATTTATTAAAACGTGTTGGTAAATTTTCAAATAAAGAAATTGGTGATGTTTTCGCTAAATGGAATAATGGTGTTTTAGATTCTTTCTTGGTTGAAATTACTAGAGATATCTTATATTATAATGATCCAACTGACAATAAACCTTTATTAGAAAAAATTTTGGATACCGCTGGTCAAAAAGGTACTGGTAAATGGACTGCTATTAATGCTTTAGATTTAGGTATGCCAGTTACTTTAATTGGTGAAGCTGTTTTCTCTAGATGTTTATCCGCTTTAAAATCTGAAAGAACCAGAGCTTCTTCCATCTTAACTGGTCCAACTGTTGAAGGGGAATCCCCAATTCAAGATAAACAAAAATTTGTTGATGATTTAGAACAAGCTCTTTATGCCTCCAAGATTATTTCTTATGCCCAAGGTTTCATGTTAATCAGAGAAGCTGCTAAAGAATATGGTTGGAAATTAAATAACCCAGCTATTGCTCTTATGTGGAGAGGTGGTTGTATTATCAGATCTGTTTTCTTGGGTGAAATCACTTCTGCTTATAGAGAAAACCCAGATTTAGAAAACTTATTATTCCATCCTTTCTTCAATGATGCTATTACCAAAGCTCAAAAAGGTTGGAGAGCCACCATTGGTAAAGCTGTTGAATTTGGTGTTCCAGTTCCTGCTTTCAGTACCGCTCTTTCTTTCTACGATGGTTACAGATCAGAAAAATTACCTGCTAACTTATTACAAGCTCAAAGAGATTACTTTGGTGCCCACACTTTCCAAGTCTTACCAGGTGAAGAAAATGATTTCCTCAAGAAAGGTGAATGGATCCACGTTAACTGGACCGGTAGAGGTGGTAACATTTCTGCTTCTACTTATGATGCTTAGATTCAATTCACTCTTCATAAATTTACTTTACATATATGATTTTATACTGAGGATACTTTGAATTGTTCTCATCTGGGTTGATTTCTTACATATTTTGTAATAAAAACATTTACGTTTAATTGAACAGATTTTTTTGTAGTTTGATTATCCTCCACGATTATTGTGTTTCCTCCACGATTATTGTGATTATCCTCCACGAATATTGTGATTCTCCTCGAATCGGCTAGTCCCCCACGGAAATATTCCCCACTTGATCAATGAAAGAGCGGAATTATTCACTCCGACTCCGCACCGAGAATGAATTGAATATTGAATCAGTTGTTTATTGAAGTTATTTCCATTCACCAATTGAGATAATAGGAAATGGGTACAAGCAAGTATCAATTAAAACACAAACAAAAAGGATTAGATAAAAAGGAATACTTATAAAACATAGAATAGAGGAGAAGGAAAACAAAAAAACATATGAAAAAGTTTATAAATATATATATATATAATGTATCAAAAGGTTAAGTTTAAACGGATTTATTAAATTGAATCAAACACATTTAAATTATTTTATGTATGAAAACGTCAAGTTTTATGCAGTAGCTTCGACAGAAGTGGAAACATTTGAGATTTTATCATCAGGATTAACATCTTGTAAAGGATCTCTCTTATGCCATTCCATGATTAAATCATCTTTAGGGAAAATAGTAGCGAAAACTTTAATTTCTTCCGAAAGAGGAGTAGGATGATGAACCAAGTCAGCATTCATTAAATATTTACCCAACATACCAGTAAAAGTCATTAAGACATAATTTTTACCCAAACAAACATGAGGACCAGTTCCAAAAACCAACCAATTACGTTTATACATATCACCAGTAGCATTTTCCCATCTTTCAGGAATGAAAGTATCAGGATCAGAATAAACTTCTGGATCATGTAAAGCAGGATATAAAGTTGGAATAAGCATGGCACCTTTTGGAGCAGTATAAGTATCAGTAACTGGGAAAGGTTGTTTAACAACGTAAGGAACCATTAAGACAGGAGGACGGTAACGTAAAGATTCTTTAACAACGTCATTAGTATAAGTCATTTGATTAATAAGATCTAAAGAGAGAGGAACATTTGGATCATTATTTCTAACTCTTAATTGTTCTTCTCTAACTTTAGCAACAACATCAGGACGATCAGCCACAATTTGGAATAACCAACAAGCTAAAGAAGAAGAAGCATCTTGAGAAGCGAAAAGGAAAGTGAAAATAACTTCCGAAATTTCACGATTAGAGAATTCTCTAATTAATAATCTTGATTCAGGATCTTCACTATGTTTTAATTTAGCATCTTTCATAAGGGAAATCCATTCATCCATAATACAACCAGATTTACCATTTTGTTCATTAATTAAAACTTTAGATTTAGCAGCACAATCTTCAAAAATTTTCATGGTTTCATCAGCAATTTTTTTACCATACCAAGTTTTAGTGAAAGGAATGATAATTGGGAAATTAACTAATTCTAAAGCAGCAGTAATTTTAAAATAGTTATCAGCAATTAATTGGATTTGATCATCAGTGATATGATCACCACAGAAAGTTCTTAAACTAAGAGCACATAATAATTCTCTAAATTCTGGGAAGAATTTTCTTGGACCATCGTAATTAGTAAATTTTTCTAAATAAAGGTCCATATATTTTTCTAAAACTGGGATATAAATTTCCAAAGCTTTTTGAACGAATAAACCATTAAGAGATCTACGGTAATCAGTGTGAGCTTTACCATCTAAAAAGACCCAATTAGTTGGTCTTAAAATTTTAATTGCAACATCAACAACACAAGGTTTAACATATCTTGGAGAAGCCAAAATTTTTCTTGCTAAATCTCTAGAAGAAGCAATAACCACAAATTTATGAAAGATAGAAACACAAGATAATTCACCAGAGTCCCATTTTGCTTTATATTCTTCGAATTTAGGATCTAAAGATTCTAAGAAAGGACCAATGATTGGCCAAACTTTGAAACGAGGACCAGCGATAACCCCTTTTCTAATTTGATACATGATTTGATCATAAGACAAACCAATAACAATTAAAGTTAAAAAGAATTGTAACCAAGACATTGATTGATAAAAATTCCAACAATTATTCAATATAATTTGGGCCCCTTCTTTGGTATAGAATTGGGGGATGGAAGATACATTAGCAGGTATAGCATCACCTGCTAATGAAGATGAAGCGTTAAAGCTCATGTTGAGATAACAAATAAATCAATAATAAATAACAAAAGAAAGATCTCGAGATATATATATGGGTATATATATATGGGTATATTAACTGCAAATCAGGCTATCGAGCAATTCTAACCAAGCAATGAGTAGCGACAAACTTCTGGAATCAGGATATCCTTCGTTTAGTATAATCTAGCCAGCGGGTAAAGTAACAAGATCGGATATCTGACAATTAAATTAAATGGCGGCTATTATGGAAGTTTTCCGTTAGCAAAACCGTACCTAGCGAATGAAATAACCTACCCTTTATACTAAAAGAAAGTTAGTATAGTTGATAAAAACACCAAATAGGAAGAAGAAGAAATCGTTTTCTATAAGCAAAATTACAAAACAACTGATTTTTAGTGGTATTCTCTGGTTTCCCTTTTTTTTTTTTTATTTTTTTTTTTTTTTTTTTTTTTTTTTTTTTTTTTTCTTCCTTCTCTTCGCTTTATTTGTGTATTCGTATAGTGTTTTTTTTTATTTGATTTTGTTATACGATCGTTTAGATTGTGCTTACGTAAACACCCGCTGATTGTCTATACGAGCCAATACCGACACACGACCGCGGCCGACCAGGCCGATCTGACGCGTAGGGAACCAGTACACCAGCAGGTTTTGCAGTTGCCATTGGCCAGAGAGCCAGGGGATAGAGGCCACGGGAGTGGGATGGGAGAGACTTGGGATGGTGCCAGGCGACTAATCGTGTAGTCGATATTGGAAGTTGGACCATTTATCATAATGTATTGACGAGGCACCACGAACCGAAAAGGCAAACCGGTCAAGATCATTTTCAATACCGGGCAACACCGCCCCTGAACCGGGGCCGGTACTATCCACAAACCGACCACTGGCCGGAAGTCGCCCTCTTTACGGGCAAGAACTAGACAAAAAATTCACAGCAAGAAGACAGGACAGACAGAGGAGATTAGAGGCAATAGACAAGACAAGACAAGACAAGAAGAAATAGACAAGACAAGACAAGACAAGACAAGAAGAAATATACAAGACAATACAAGACAAGACATGACAAGTCGAGCGAAACAGAATAACAAAAACATAGAAAAGTTGTTTAATTAATCCATTTTTGCAGCAAGTCAATATGAAGAACTGCAAAAAAATATACCTTCAGAGCTAGAAGTCCAGATACCTGCTCAAAGATTGTACTTGCATGTATTATATCACTTGTCTCATCGCCAAATCCAGTTCGATTAGTGGATTAAAAAAATCCAGTAGGTGCTTCTATAACTTGGGGCCAGCGGAAGAAATGTACGGAGGTTCTTAATCACGTGACCGAATATATTATTTTTTTTGTGTAAATTTTCACTACTGATGAGATGCTTTATGCTATTTTTTTTTTTAGGTTGATGCCATTACTTTACAAGGATTCTTATTACAGCGACAAATGGCTAAAAGAAAGAATAATAAAGAATTAGAGGCGAAGAGAAAGAAGGCAAAGCAAGAGCAAGACTCGCTTCTCTCTGCCGGAGTCTTCTCTACCCACGATCAAAATGAATCAGAAGAAGATATCAAAGACTGGGATAACGAAGAACAAGATTATGAATTAAGACCTAGATCCATAAACAACGAGAAAAAAATGGTGGAAGGGTTACCCATCAAAACATCGGATGGTAGGATTGAACGGGTTGTGAGAGAGGTCAACGAAGGAGAGCCCGAAGAAGAACCAGAAGAAGAGCCCGAACAAGAAGAAGAAGCTGAAAAGGAGGAAGAACCAGAAGAAGATGAGGACTCCCATTTGTCACCACAAGAAAAGCTCACCAAATTAAAAGAAGAGATTGCCAATCTTGCATCTAAATTGATAGAAGACCCAGAAGAAAATATATCATGTCTTACAAGATTAAGAAAAATGTCCGAATCAAATAATGTAGTAACCTGTCAATTAGCTATAATGGCATTGATACCAGTTTTCAAATCATTAGCACCAGGATATAGAATAAGACCTTTGACTGATGCAGAAAAACGTGAAAAAGTTAGTAAGGAAGTTGCTAGATTAAGACAATTCGAACAAATATTAATTCATAATTATAAGCAATATATTGATCATTTGACTAAATTATCAAAAATATCCAATTCAAATTCTCAAAATAATAAAAAAATTACTCCAAATCAAATAAAATTAGGTCAATTATCCTCTAAAGCTGCCTGTGAATTATGTTCATCTTCTTTACGTCATTTTAATTATAGAGCAGAACTTTTCAATATAATTATTCGCCGTCTTAATAAAAAACCAAATGATAATATCGATTATGAAATATTCACCAAATGCATTCAAATTTTACAAACTACTTTAATTGATGATGAACAACATGGTGATATCACTTATGATATCGTTAAATTATTATCCAAATCAATTAAAGATAAAAAATTCAGAGTTGATGAATCAGTTATTAACATCTTCTTATCGCTTTCCCTTTTACATGATTATGACCCAAATAATAATAAAGATGATCAAGATAAAAAACCAAAATTAAAGAAAAAGGATAGAGTTCATTTATCTAAAAAAGAACGTAAAGCAAGAAAAGAACGTAAAGAAATTGATGAAGAAATGAGGAAAGCTGAACAAGCAGTTACCGCTGAAGAACGGGAAAAATTTCAAGCCCAAGTTTTAAAAATGGTTTTAACTCTTTATTTAGAAATTTTAAAGGCCGGTAGTCATACAGTTAATAATTCTACTGGTAGTTCAGGTAAAAATGATGCTACTCTTTTAATGGCTGCTGTCTTGGAAGGTTTATCCCGTTTTGGTCAAATGGCTAATTTTGATTTATTAGGTGATTTCTTAGAAGTATTGAGAGAAATTATGTCGGATATTTTAGATGAACATTCTCTTGCTAATACTTCAATTTTCGATACTAACGATAATGACGATGAAGATGATTATGGTGGAATGTATACTGGTCAACAAATAAGAACAGTTTTATTATGTATTGCTACTTCATTTGCTTTAATCTTAAATCATTCAACTACTGGTAAATTACCAATGTCAATCGATCTTACTAGATTCATTAATAGCTTATACGTTATTTTAGCTGACTTATCTTTGGATACTGATTTAGAATTATCTCATAAGTCTCTTAGATTAGCAGATCCATTATCTCCGTCTAATTCAACAAATAAGCCTTCAGTAAATGTTTCAACAAAGGCTGAATTACTTCTTCGATGTTTAGATTGCATTTTTTTTAGATCAAGAAATGGAACTTTACCTCGTGCTACTTCTTTCACTAAAAGATTATACATTTTAACTTTAAATTCCCCTGAAAAAACTGCATTGGCTAATTTGAAATTCGTTGGTAAATTGATGAGTAGATACGGTGAAGGCTTTAAAGGTCTATGGAATACTGAAGAACGTATTAGTGGTGAAGGCTCATATACCTTGGGTATCGAAAGACCTAACGTTGAAGTTGAATTAGAAAGATGTAATAGTGGTGCTGCTACATTATGGGAAAATGTTTTATTAGATAAACATTATAGCCCAATGGTTAAAGATGGTTCAAGATCTTTAATGAAAAGTAGTAAACCTTCTAACTAGCTCTAATTAATCGCATATATAGAATCACTGTACATTATCCTAACATACTAATGACCAACTTCTCTGTAGTAACGCATGATTGTCAATTGTATTACAATGGTTGCAATTGTTGGTTGTAAATCAAACTTTTTGATCCAAACAAAAGTGAGAAGCCAAAATATGACATACCAAACAAATATCCCTTATTTCAAATCAATTTCTCTTCTTTGTCATTTACATTAACTTTAATAAAAGCTTATTGTAATTGAGCTTATCCAAAATTTCCAGTATAAATCAATTGGAGGGAACAAAGAAAAAAAAAAAAAAAAAAATTAGAGTGAAAAATTCTCCCTTTAATTAAGCATCACTCGATAATTTACTTACTATCAAGATTTTTTCCTCGCATTTTTTGATCTTTAAAATTTCAATCCCTATTACTTTCATTAACTAATCCGAAAGCATTTTTGCATCGATAGCAGGACCACTGGAAGATGATGATTGGATCCTGGGAGTTGGATCCCGTTGATATCCTTATTATTTTCATTGTTGTTTCAATTTTGTTATTTATAATTTTATTTTTCATTGCATACAAGGTTTTCTTTAGTGGATCATTCAGACATGACTATCATTTACTAGGAGATGATGCGTTTAGATACGGAGATGTTCCACGTGAATTCATTAATGACGAGGAATCGCTTACTCACTTGGCCGAAGAATATGACTTTACTCATTTATCTCCTGAAGAACAAAATTCTTACTTGAAAGGGGAAGAATATACTAAATCTAATCCACCGAATTTTCATAACATTAGGGGTAAATCTTTCACTCCTGAAGATGAAGTGCTTATCAAGGACTGTGGTATAAATGCTTTTGAATTCGAACAAGAACATGATATCTTACTGGCTAGATATATTGTTGCTGATAGAACAGAGATTCACTTTTTAAATAACGATACTCCTTATTCAACTGCTACTTCTGTACTTAATTATTGCTTACCTGTTAAAAATCGTACTTATTCAGATACTGTTTATTTTGAAGTTAAAGTGTTTGAATATGATTCTTCAAATGAAAATGGTCATTTTGCTATTGGTTTAGTTACTAAACCTTATCCTCTGTCATTTCGTTTACCAGGTTATAATAATTTTTCAATTGCTTATGAATCAACTGGTAATTTAAAGATTAACAAGCCTTTCCCTACTCCATTACAACAGCATATGGGCGATAATAGTAAATTCAATGCCCAAGTTTTACCTCCTTTATCACAATCTGATACCGTTGGGTTTGGTTACGTAATTTCAACCGGTACTGTATTCATCACCCGTAATGGTAAGAAATTAATGGATATTCTTAAAGATTGTTATGTTGATTTATACCCTGCAGTTGGTTGTTTTTCAACAAATGCTAAATTTCAAGCTAATTTAGGTCAATTAGGTTATGTTTGGATTGAAGCTAATGTTCGTAAATATGGTTTTATTTCTACTAGTGATTATAAAAAAATTAAAGGAGATAGAGGATTAGCGGCTCTTCCTCAATATGGTAGCATCAATAAAAGTGAAGGTGATAAATTATTGGATAAAGGTGAAGAACTTCCCCCAGATTATCCCGAAGATGAATTAGATTTCTTTGGTAGATCTACCAAAGATTTAGTAAGAATTGGTTCTTCTTCTAAGTCTAATAAAAATAACGAACAAACAGAAAAAAATGAGAAATCAATCGATTCAAAACAGGATGATGAAGAATTCAAAGAACCTAAAGTACCCATTTCAAACGTTAAGAGCTCATCCTTAGTAACAGATGAACCAGAAGAAATCATGGATTTGAGAGGAAGATTATATGAACAAGAAATCACCTCTCGTAAAACTGATGATGACTCCGAAACTACTCCTTTGATCAAATCAACTCTCGATAATGACTCAAACTACCAAACTACCGATGGTAATGAAACAACAAGCATCAATTCCAAAAAAGAACCAACCCCTCACTCAGAAGCTCAAGTCGAAGCAAAAGCTCAACAACATAAAGTTGGTTCTGCTTCTGCATCTAGTGCTGCTCACGCACAAGAAGAATCAACTAACCCAAGTGGATTAGATGCTGGTGAGACTTCAACAGAATCACCAGAACCAACTTCGAATCCCACCGGGAACGCATCGGGGGCTTCAGCAAAACCCAAGTCTAAAAAGAAGAAGAAGAATGGAAAAAAATCAAATAAGAAGAAGGGTAAAAGAAAGTAAGTGAAGTAATCAGTGCTTGACATTCCAATTATTCATCATCAAAAAGCTTTCATTTCCTCTTTTCATCTTTCTCTATTCAATTGATGATCCTTCTAGTTCGATATCTTTTTTTTTTTTTTCTTTTCTTTTATTTCCACATAATCTTGCATTCTAAGTTATCTTTTTTTCTATCTTTTCTCTTTGATTCCTATGGATCTCTACAAAATCGATGCATTTAAACTTTGTTTCTCTTTGCCTTTTATTCTTTTCTTCGTTTCTTTTCTCATTGCATTCTTCAAGGCCTTTTCTTTTATTTATCTCACTTAAAACTGTTTAGTACTCTGTTACCTTATCCTGTAGTAGGTGAACTCATCTAGTATGTATTTGACAAGAAGAAGATAACTTGATTTCACAAAGTAGAAGCGAAAAAACATAGATTTGTCTTAGATTGTGTATTTAAATGTGTGTATAGTAAATTTCGCAGCCGTACAGAATTCCTAGTATGAATGATCTTTCAGATCCTATTGAACAAGTTGAAGGCTTTATAAGAACAGGCTTTGCTAGTGAAGACTCGTAACATTACATTTTCGATGATAATATTTTAGAGTACAGTTAGAGTTATATTATAAATATACATTTATAGTACAAACATTGGAAATGTGTAATAACAAAGTAGGAAAATAGATGAACCAGAGAAACAATAAGGATTAAAAAGACTTTCAGACATATAACAATAGAAAAAATCATCAACTTGATTTTGAATAAAATGTAAAAAAATAGGAAGGGAATAAAAATCACTGAAAATTTCAAAAAAAAAAGATAAGACTGGAACGATAAATCAAAAAAAGAAACAGTTATTTGGAAGATACAATCCACCAGAAAAGAAAACTGAAAAGTACGGGTAATTGAGCCTTGGAGTCTTCGATCTTGAGGAACGAGTTCTCTTGACGAGTTTCAATAACAAACAAAGAAGAAGAATAAAATTGATCGAAAAAAAAAAAAAAAGGAGTAAAAAGGAAGTTCAACTCAGAACATTTACAGACCGTGTTGTAAATGAGATGGAATAACACTTTGGATGGTAGCATTGATATCATTAGTTCCATCATCAAGGTCGTTTCTAGTTTTCACCAATCTAGTTGGGTCATCGAGATCTTCAGATGACTTGACAGCCACGGCACCAGGAGTACCATTAACTCTAATACCTTTGATAGTGATACCAGTTTGTTCTACTGGGAATTTTCTTGGTCTACCTCTTCTATCTTTCTTTTTAATTAAATTTTTAACCGTTTCATCCTCTAAAGAACGTAAATAGGGAGGTTTATCTTGTAATCTAGCCATTTTTCTAGCATGTTGAGCTTCTTCACTTTCATAATCAGGCTGAGCATTTGGTAATGAGTTAGCAACCGAAACTTGAGGATTAGAAGTACGGTTTTTACGTTTAGTTGATTTTTTAAATACTCTATTAAGAGCTTTAAAATTTGGGTGAGTAGAATCGATATATTCATTAGTTGAAGGATCAAGAATGAATTTTTTTGGACGGCCTCTTCTCTTCTTAGTATCGGAGGCTTGACCGTCCTGTATACTTTCACTTGAGTCCTTTTGGTGTTGTTGTATCATAATATTTTGATGAGGTTGTTGATGATGTTGTTGGTGATGTTGTTGTTGCAGTGGATGGGGTTGATGGTGCAGTTGCTGTAAGCTAATCAGTTGAGGTTGTTGAGTTTGATAACGTTGAGGTTGGGGTTGATTCTCATATATATGTTGGGGTTGGGGTTGTTGTTGTTGTTGCATCAAATGCCCACTATTAGCATGAGAGAAAGCAAGGGGAGTGGAAAGATTCATTGAACCATTCCCCATAATACGAGAGGATAAAGCAGGAGGAGCAGCAGGAGCTGGGGAAGAAAGATGATTAACAAAACCTTGACCTGATCCAGGGCGTACCGAAGGAGGTTGGTTGTACATACTTGATGGAGCCCCAGTGGCAGGTTGTTTGTTGTTCCCGTTTTGGTTGGGGTTGTTATTGTAATTAGCAAATGGAAGATACATGATACTTGTAATACTTGACTGAATCCTTGTTTGAAGATAATTGAATTATAATTTAAAGCGGCTACTAATACAAATATTAAATTCCCACAAAATTTTTAAAACAAAACCGCTTGATATTCCTGCTATACCTATTTCCACACCGGACTATCCTTATAACGATATCAATACTTGTTTAATGGGTACCACTTGATAATAGTATACTTTGTTTTGATTTTTTTTTTTTTTTTTTTGGTTTTACTAGTAGGAAAGGATTGCAACCTCGACGTAAGCCAATAAGGAAGACGCTTGATCGATGTATAGACGCTATTCAACAGATTCTCTGAAGATAGCACACTTATTGGATTGGAAAGATGGTGAATGTATTTGCAACAAGAGGTTGATCGATAGAAGGTGATACTAATAAAAAAAAAAAAAAAAAAAAAAAAAAAAAAAAAAAAAA